GCAGCGTCGCTGGAGAGGGGTCGAGTGGGCTGACTATTATGAAGTTGTTGCTGCAAGTGCCAGCATCCTTGCGATTCATCCAGACTGTTTCGTGCAACAGGCCCTGAATGTGCGAGACGCGTCGGCAGCACGGCAGAGGGCAAGCGTGGAGGCAGAGCCGAGGCGAGAGGTTGTGCACTGGCGAAACAAGTCGCAAGGACAAGTCGTATGCCTCCAAACATTTCGCTCCGCAGCAGCATACTATTGGGCAGTATCGGTATCGCCGACGGAGAAGTTCCTTGCCATCGGCGCGTCGGACAAGCTGGTGCACGTCATGGACCGCGATGGGCACGAGGTAGCTGTGCTTAGGGGCCACGCTGATGAGGTGGACAAGGTTGCGTACAATCCTGCTTCTGACGAGTTTGTCCTCAGCGTGGCATCCCGTAACGTCCTGATCCACGACACCAGCACGTGCAGCAAGATCGCGGCTTACACTGCAGCAGGGTTTGTGCAGGATGTGCGATGGAATCCCAGTGGCTCCCAGTTTGTACTGTCAGGGGCTGGGCGTTGCAGCGTCTTTGAGTTTGGGACGCAGGGCGCGGGATTGCAACCAGTTGCAACGTGGGTGGCGGCAGCGGCGAATGGCGTAGCTACCGGTTGCTTCTCTCCATCTGGCAGGGACGTCGTCTTCGGGGCACAGAACAAGCTGCGCGTTTGCACCGCCAGCACTAAGTCGCTGTTGGATTGCGACAGCGCGAAACACACCGAGCAGATCAACTCCGTAGACTGGGGCGGTGCCACCGACGCAGAAGGATACATTGCCAGCGGAGGCAACGATGGACTTGTTTGCGTGTGGAAGCGTTCCGCAACAAAAATCCAGCTGCCTACGGCAAGTCCCGCCACCGTGCTTTGGTTGTGGGTTATAAGCCTAGTGGAAGTTCGTCGGAATCTCGTGGGAGGCCTCTCGGGGGCCTCTTGGAGCCAGTTTTGAAGCCTCTTGTGGGCCGTTTTGGGCCTCTTGGTGGCCTCTTGGGGGCCTCTTGGGGCCTCTTGGGGGCCTCTTGGGGGCCTCTTGGGCGCCTCTTGGGCGCCTCTTGGGGCCTCCTGGGGGCCCCTTGGGGCGGAAAGCTCGGATATTCGGTTCGTGTTCCTTTTCTTGGGCCTCTTTTGGGGCCGTCTTGGGCGCCTCCTGGGCCGTCTTGTGCGCCTCGTGGGCCGTCTTGGGGCGCTCTAGGCTGTCTTGGGGCCCTCACGCCTCTTGCGCCATCTTGAGGCCATCTTGGGCGTCTTCGAGCGATCGTTCGGCGACTCGGGGTCTTCTTGGACCGTCTTGGGGCCTCCTGGGCCGTCATAGAAGCCTTGGAGAGCTCCAGGGAAGCGCCATGGCCGCCCAGGGACCCCCCGGGAGTAGGAGCGGTGCGCGCGACGAGGTGCTGCGGGGAGGGGGGGTCCCCTTATTAGAGAAACCCAGCACTTGGCATTCTAGCACGCCTCAACGTGTCAGGGGGCACGGTGGCGGGTTGTCTTGTTTCTCACGTTCAGTTGCCATCAGGATGCTGTGCATTGGGTGCGCATCACCAACGAGGTGGTCGTGAGCTGTTCTGAGGACCGGACGGCTTGCGTCACGCGGCTAGTGAAGAACGCAGTTCCAGCCGTTCTACGCGGCCACGGTTCTGGTGTCATGCAGGTCTGCCCTATAGGCGCGGCCACTTGTGCAACGGCTAGTTCCGATGGCTCTGTGAGGGTGTGGGATGTCTATCGTGCGTTGGCTCAGCGGGACCCACCGCGATGCGGCCGAGAAATCACAGCAGCGATCTGGTTGAAGCGTGGGTCGCCAGCAGCTGCACGTGTTGTTGTGTGCGCTGGGAACTCTGGGTCCCTCACTTGCTTCGATTCGTTGGGTCAGACCATTCTCTGGTCGGCGCAGTTGCCCGAGGCGACGCACCCGGCCGTAACCGCACTTGCAGGCGGTGGCGGCGAGGGAACCTCAGGAGTGGCCGCAAGGTACCGAGTATTGCACCAGTTTGCCGCACAGGATGGCACTGTTCTCCGCACGTTCCCGTGCGAGCACTGGGCGAACATCTGCCTGATGCGGGCCGACTGCGTGGTTGCCGGATGCGATGATGAGTTCGTGCGCGTCTGGGTGATCCATTCGACCCCACCTGCCACGCACACAGAGGTTTCGGACAGGCCAGTGCGCTTGGCGCACCAGGGTGCGAATTCTGTCCTCGCTCTAGCCGCCTCCGCCTGCGGAGAGCTGCTCGCGAGCGGCGGCGACGACGAGCGTGTCCACTGCTGGCGCGGCCGCGCCGTCGACACCCACTTGACAACGGACAGCCTCGGCGGCAGTGTGTTGTGGCTGGCGTTCTGCTCCAGCGACATGATCGCCGTGAGCACCGCGGGCGGTTCGGGCGGCGTGCACCTCGTTCGGCGCGGCTGCGATGCCCTCGAGGTGTTGTGGTCGACGCGGCTCGGCTGCAGCGTCTCGTGGTGCTCAATGCTGTCGGCCGACCGTCTGCTGGCCGCCACATCGCAAGGCATGCTGCACCTCTGGAGAATGACAGGAGCAGCTGCTGGCGCACGGAGGCCGTCCCACGGCCTCGGCGTCGAGCCGATACTCGTACCGGCAAGTCTGTTTCCAGCGTCGGCTCGATTTGGCTCGCCAGATGGAGTGGGTGGCCAGGGAGACGTGTGCGGCCCACACGTCTGTATCGGTGACGAGTCTGGACGCTTATACGTGTTGAAGGTCGCCCCCGTCGACGACGAAGAAGTTCGATTTGCTGCCATGGGGCACGCATCTCCCGACATCGCAGACGGAAGTGTGACGACGCTCGCGAGTCACAAGGTTGCATCAAGCGTACCACGCGTTGGCTCAAGCAGCGTCGCCAAGGTCAAGGCGAAGAGTAAAGCGAATGTCAAGGCACGTTAGTTGCCGCAGCGGTGAAAGCATCCACATGTATATACGAATGTAAGCGCCATCGTGATAGTTTCAGAAGGCTTCGAGATGCTAGCAAATCCGTTCCACATGTGTCTGGGGCTTTCCAAAAGCTTCCAGGACTCCTGACTCGCAGCCGGTGCCTGCACTCCCGCCCGCTGGGGCTCCTGGAGGGAGCACGTGGCACTCGCACCGTGAATTGTTGCTATCGTTGGGTGGTCTTGCAGAGTCTGGTCGAGCGTGCACAGCTGGCACGCTGGTTGAAAACAACCCCCTGGTTCTCGCGGGGTGCCCTTCTGTTCTGATGGTGGGCTCGTCACCTTAGAGTGGATGCCCTTCGCTTTTGGGTACCTCCACGGGGCGCCGGGCCTTCGGCGAAGGGGGTCGTGGTCTCGATTTTCGCTTTTGCGACCATGCTTCGGTTGCACGCGTGCGTGCGTCTGCGGTGTGGACGAGCAGGGCTGGCCCATCAAGCTCACACCTCGGATCGCAGGTCGGCCCCGCCTGGGGGAGGACAGTTCCTCCCGCCAGCCCCTGCCTCGAGACGTCACAGGTGGCCCCAGAGACCACATCGAAGAAGCCCCGCACGGCCACGACATGCAACCCCCAAGACGGCTTCCAAGGGCCTCTGGACGAGCTTGGGAGCGCGTCACGATGCGCCCCAGGCGACCTGGAAATCTCCTGCAAGTCCCTCGGGCCCCCCCAAGGAGTTCCCCATTGGGTCTTTCTGAGACTGAGCACACAGAAGAACCTGCGATACCACCTGGATTTTCGTATCTCCATGCTGGCCATTGGGGCCGGAGTAGATGGTCTCGGAGGGTCGCCGACGCATCGCGGATGTGGCACGATGCGGAGTCTGACCTTCTCCAGCCCGACGTCGCCAATGCGGCGCCATGTTTCGATCCCATCTACTGCGGCCTCAAAGATTCCATAGACTTGGGCGCAGAATTCTGGGAAACCTCGAAGTTGCTAAAGTGCAACCCAGACGGCATCCGAGCCGATGTACCGAAGAGACACCTCCAAGGACCCCACGACGGTACGATGGCCAAATAGTGCCCCACAGCAGTTGAGATTGGCCCACGGCCGTAGCAAGAAGAGGCTCACGACGGCGCCGAGAGGGCCCATGGGCGCTCGCAGGCCGCCGGCCTCCTACGACAGGTTCGCGCCGCGGCGGCGACCCCAGCGCGGGCGGTCAACGTGGAACGCCGCCAGTGTCTTGGAATCGGCCGATTTTGACAGAGCTGCGCTGTCTGGAGGCCGCGATCGTTCAGGACGTGACGATCCACACGGTGTCGGATGCCAGTGCTCGCGTCATTTCGGCGTGACCCCGCCGTACCCAGGGGCGGCTCCAGGATGGCAGCCGAGAGTCCGAAGGCCCTCTGAGACCGCCCAGAGGTCCCCACCGTGCGCCTGGAAGGGCCAAAGAGCGGCCACCAAAAGCACTAAGCGGTGGCAACATTCCCGCCCCGTCCTCCTCCCCTCCTCTCCTTTCTCCCTCCTTTCTCCCTCTTCCCCCGATTCACCTCCTCTCCGTCTTCTTCGGTGTATCCGCCGCTTTAACTTCAATGTTGCGGTTGCGTGGCGTTCGATCGGGGAGGTGCCTTTTGGCGTGCGAGTTTAGATTTGGTCAAAATCCTGACGGGCCATGGCGCGCCACTATGAGATGGGTCACTGCCGCGCCACCATGATTGCAAAGCCACCCCAAGAGATCGCTCCGGCAGCTCGCGGTCCTGGTCTTCCAGCCGGCAGGAACGGGGGAGGAGAGGAAAGGAGGGGACCGGTGAGGTGGGGCGGGGAGGGAGATGGCGCCGTGCAGCATCGAACCCAGGACGGCCGAGCAGCCAGGAATTGCCGACCGCAGCAGTTGGCCCCATCCTTGCCAGGCGTCCCTGCGAAGCTCGTACGGCGCACTTCCACAAATGTTCTGCTTCCCCTCGTGACGTGCGTGCGTGCGCGCACTCACGGGGCAGGGGCCCGCCTCCTCCTCCTCCTCCTCCTCCTCCTCCTCCAAGGCCACGGACTGCTCAGGCCCGCAGCCACATGCGGCCTTCGCATCCGATGGCCTCCCCCGACCGCGAGCCGCCAGGCCCGCTTGGGGGAGGAGCAGGGGCCCAGCGCGCTGCTGGCGGCGGCGCTGCGCTCCGCTAGGGGCGGGGCGTGCTGGCAGCGGGCAGCCGGGATGGAGGGAGGAGGAGGCAGCAGCAGCAGCAGCGACGGACCAGGCTGCAGCACAGGAAGGGCAAGGGCGAGGACGAGTGAGACGACGGGCACCACGGGTACGGGGACGGCTGGGCCATGTGGAACATCACCATCACCAACACCATCATCATGGCTTGTGCACGCCTCCTTCGTAGGGTACAACGCTTACACGTTGATGCGTACAGGTCGTACGGAGAGCCTGGGACTTGAATTTGCTAGAGCATCGGCGATCTTCGTTCCTGGAACAAAAATCCCTATGAAGCTCAACCAGCAGCACCACTATGAGCGTACCCCCGAGTTCCACTGGATACACTGGGGGTGGGGACGTGGGTCAAACACGAATGCGTCGGCGGGCGTCTCTATTGCGGTCTCGGCAAAGTTATACCAGCCCCGACATATTATTCGTATAACATACCCACCACCACACCTTCAGGGGCGAGCGGGTTGTGTAGATATCGAGAGAGGTCCCCAGAGATTTCGTCTTATCGTGGGATACTACCCGCCTCGATGTTCATCAGCACGCCGCGCCCCCTGCTGGCGGGCGACATGCAAGCAACTTACCTCGTGGATCAAACAGCAGGCCGACAGCGTCCCAGCACGTGTATTGCCAATCATTTTCGCCGATCTGAATCTTAAGATGGGTAAGAAAGGCACCGAGCTTATTGATGATCACACCGTTGGACCCCATCAGGCCGGCCACGAGGATGAGATGTCCACTTTTGTCCGCAGGCAGTTTGAAGAGAGCCACTTGACCTTCCTGAACACACATCATGATCTCGGACCTAGTTACTATGGCCTTAACGGAGCTCGTAGTCGTATTGATTACTTCTTAGGCCCGAGGGCCCTTCTGCAGATTGGGGTACGTATGCGAATGTTCTGGAATTCTCAGCGTCGGCTGCAGGCTCTCCCGCACATGATAGATCACGTACCCATGTACCTCCAGTTTCGTGTACCAGCACCAACACCGCACCAGCAGCAGCAGGGATGTGCATGGGACTGGGGAGGGCTAGCAGCAGCACTGCAGAACGGGTATCGGAGGGAGGAGCTCATGAGTCAGATTTGCCAGGCCTGGACAGCATACCGCCCCTTGTGTCGAGCTCTCACCATGGACGGGGAACCTACTCGACACGCGGGGGTGGTCACCCAGATCATCCGACAGGCTGCTGCGACAGCATTCTCGGCAGAGAGATCGACGCCCGCGTGGGTCACCGAGGCGAAGGAGGAGAGGAGGAGGTTACTTCGACAGCGGGCCGAACTGCGAGACCTTGGGTTCGAACTCTCGGGCGGTCTCCTCCGACGTCTCGATCGCCAGCTTCGATCGCATCGACGATGGCAGGAGAGGTGGAGGAGGGAGTCGCTCGAACAGGAGATCAGGGAGGCGTGGGCGGTTCGTGACCAGGCTCGGGTGGGATACCTCATCAGGCTTCGGGCGGGCACCAACATGGGACCTCGGAAGAGATGCTATCTGGCCCTCCCGACGAGTCGCCCCAGCGCCGAGGACTTCAGGAAGGCGATGAGCCTACCAGCTGTCGAGGGGGGTCTGACGACGACAAACGCGCGCATGAGCAAATACATGACCTCTGAGGCCGTTCAGAAGCTCCTGGATACCCCCCTCGAGGACCTCCCTGCCTACGGACCCCGACTCGCCCTCCCGACCATTGAGGACCACGAGAGGGCTGCAGAGGACCTAGAGCTCGTCAAGAAAAGGATCCTTCACAGCACCCATCGTAGATATGCACCTCCGTGGTCGTGGCCTGTCGAGATATCCAAGTTGCTGCTATTTCCCGCCCTTCTGTTCCGCCCAGGGTACTCCCAGGAAGGCATAGGTTCCACGTGGAGACGACATGATCCCGACCTTCTGGATTTCGAGGCACTGGCGGCCACGACCCGCGTCCGGAGGACGATCAACATTGACTCAGAGCACGCGCAGGTGGGTCACGACATGTTCGTACAGTTGTTGGCACACATACGAGCACGAGCACTTCTACCCCAGCACGCCCGGGTCAGTCATGCTATCGCCATCGGCAAGCCAGGCAAAACCCCGACGGGAAACGACGTCACTGACATTACAAAATGCTTGCGTATACTGCATTGTTTCTGTCATTGGTGGCGAGTACTGTTACGTGTCGGGCTAGTAGATTTCGGCAGTCGGTTTGACCCCCCTCCCTGGGCATACGGCGGCATCATCCATAGGCGGAGGGAGGGACTCATGACCATCATCAAACTCATCATGTGGAAACTTCGACGGTGTCATCATTATTATCTGGTCAAGTCGTATGATATGCGCAACGCCTTTGGCACGGGCATGCACGAGCGCTTGTTCAACGCACACAGGTCACGGGGAGTTGACGAATACTATGACGAGTTACTCACGCACCACAGGAGCACGGGCATTTTATATTATCAAGCACGTGATGGTGACGTCAGTTTACATCCCACGACGGGGGGCAGAATGGGAGACTCTAACGAGCCTGAGCTATTCATGGATGCATTCTACCCTCTTGTTAGTATGTGGCAGCGAGAGTTGAACACGATAATCGGCGACGATTTGCTATGCCATGACCCCTTGCACGAACCAGGAGATCACGTAGGTGACACATCTGATCCCAGCGGTACAGATATTGATGCCTCGTTCGGCGGATTTATCGACGACTTGATTCGTGTGATCATCGTTCCCACGGGCACGGTGCAGGAGGCGTTGCAACTAGATTACTTGGACAATCGCATCCTAGATAAGCGACTTCAGGAGGGCGGGTACGCCCAACACGTCGACAAACAGGAAACCCTCGTTCATCTGGCCACGGCTAAGGACACGAAGGAAGCCGAGGCACGGATCTCAGGAAAAGCCATGACCAACCTTATCCACTTGGGCGGGTTCATCCACGTTCAGGGCAGTAACAGAAGAGAGATCAGGGCACGCATTAGAGCAGGGTCTATCGGGTGGAGCAATCTTCGGCAGTACTGGTTCACGGCGGGTCCTTGGCGAAGCATGCGCAGCACATTCCTAGCTAATGTAGCGGGCAGAGCATGGTCGGGTCTGGAGGCGTGCGTGCTTACCACGAATGAGCTTAAGGACATCGACACGTCACTAGCCAAGAAGATGCGAGCTATGTTGCACGGGCGCGCGCATGTTGAGCACGAGGACGGCGCGCACACATCCTGGACGACCAAGCAGATTTTCGAAGAGTGGCGAATCCCGCCGACTGGAATCGAGCTTATGGTCCGTCGTCTTAGATGGTGGCAGTCCATCGCAGGGAACCCCGAACACCACCGCCATTATCTTAGTATTTTCTTTGGAGATTGCCGATTTGAGCGACGAGCCAGAGAGGCGGGCAACGAGGTTGCAGATGCCACTGTCTTGCCGAATGGGGAGCTTAACCCGTCTCCACACATCCACCCGTGGGCCCTCCAGTTTTCCCAGGACCTGAACGCGGCCCTGGCCCACCCGATTGGTGAGGAGCTCCTGGAAGTCTGGCAACCCCGTACGATGGCCAATTTCTTTGGGAACCCTGAGGTCACCGAGGCTTTCAGATATGGTGATTTTCGAGCGATGAGAACGACGGCATGGGCACGCGAATGGGCCCCACCTGAATTTCTCTTGGAACAATTACCGAAGGAGGGGGAGGAGGTGGGGGACACGGAGAGTGACGAGGCCGAGCTGGCCCCGCTAGTTTGCGGGATCGAGGGCTGCCGAGCACGTTTCGCCACCAATAGGGAGCTCGTCAAACACCAAATATGGGCCACGACGCTCCCTGGACACGGCACCCCCCCGATCTTGTCCGTCATTACGCTCGACAATAAATGCTTTAGCTGCCAGACGATCTTCGGCAGCGTGGATCACACGCGGAGGCATCTCAGTGGCGCGTGGAGAGCAGGCAGGTGCATTCAGAATCTCACTCGCCACTGTTATGATTGGACCCCGTCTGCTGAGACACGCTGCCCGTTGGCTGAAGATACGGATCAACCAGAGTGCCAGGAACAGTACGACGACCCAGCAGAGCTGCGGGCACACCTGGCCACACACATTCCTCATACATCCGTAGGGTTTCGGCTCACAGTCACTCAGCCTCAGCCAGCGCACAGGGTCCGCGCCCCAGCCGGCGCCCGCAGGCCAGGCGCGCCACCGCCGACCTTCGACGACCTGGACGACACTCCCGACCTTCGTGCAGACCTGCGCGCAGCGTTTCGTCAACTTGCTGCACGACGCCAGGCTCGGAGACGGGCGCGAGAGGGACCAGTGCGACGACGAGTGGCAGCTCGACCTCCGCCGACCTCTTCTTCTTGGCCACCCACCTCGGCACCTTCGCGGGTAACAGCCGCGAGCACACCGCTACTGCGACCTCGCCAAGCACCGCCTGCTGAACGTCGAGCACCACCTGCACAAGATGTCGGGCGGCGCGGCGGCAGCGGCGACGGGCAGCTTCCAGGAGCCAGGCCCCCCTCGGCCGAGAGCAGCGTGGCGGACGGCCGCCCCAGCGGCATCCTCCCAGGCGTCTGGGAATTTTGGCGGCGACTCCAAGCCTCCCGACCCGAAGAAGGGAAGGAAGGGCGACAAGGACAGGGACACAGCCATGGACGACGCCAAGGGGGAGCTGCAGAAGATCCTCGACGGCAAGGCTGGAGGCAAAGGACGACATCGAGGAGGCCGCCGTCATCGCCGAGGCGGCCACACGGAGAAGAAGTGGACGAGCAAGGACGCGAACATCCAGCAGTGCTTGGCCGCGATAGCCAAGCTATCCCTCCAGACAGCGCAGCGGCAGCGCCTGACGATGGCGACGGTGGTCGACACGTTCACGATGCCGAAGGGACACCCGGTCATCACGGCGCTGCAGCAGACGCTGGAGGACTACAGGAAGCAGGTGCAGACCGCGCGCGAGGCAGGACCAGACCAGCTTCGAGCGGTTGGCAGCCCGACCGCCTCCCTGGCGGTCACCCTTCTCGAGAAGCTGGCCACATGCGACGTGGGCGGCGTGAGCCGCCAGCAGCTCAACGACTACCTCGACAAGATCGAACCGACGACGGGCGAGCCGACCATCACCCGCGAGCAGGTGGAGTTGGACGTGCAGGCCATCAAGATCGAGCAGCCCCACGACGAGAGCAAGGCCAAGCTCCTCATCGCGGGCCCTACGTGGCCCATGAGGGGCACGGTGACGCACGCCTTCAAGGCGGAGGGCGTCGCGACGAGATTCACGGGCGTCATGCCCGCGGGCTGGCTGGAGGACGAGGTGGCGACGTGGTTGGACGTGCTGCAGCAGGGCTGACGACCGTGAGCCGCCGCCCCATCATCTTTGTTAGAGGTGAGACCGTGCCTGGCACGGCGCAGCAGGCTCCCCGACCCACCTCTTCCTCCTTGAAGAGGGAAACTTCAAGCGCAGACTCCGTGACAGCCATCACGGTGCCCGATGCCTCCACATCTCCCCAGCCTGCGGACGGCACGGCACCGCACGAGCAATGTCATGAGGCTGATGAAGAGGCCGCGGCATACCTCTTCGGTTAGCGGGGAGACATTGTTTCTTTTCAAGTTCTCGTCGTGAACTATTCTTGGGCGAATAGATCCAGACACCATGCATCGGAGATAGCTAGGCTGATGCACCACCGTCGGTGCCCTCTCGGGAGATACTGCGACCCGCGGCCTGCCTTTGCCTGCTCCTCGCGTTGATGCGCGGGGGGCGCTCGCCCCAGGCCTGCGTGCTGGACCAAAGTACGGGCACGGAGCGTGCCTGCGACAGCTCGCCGAATCAGTGTATTACACCCGTTTCCAGAGGCATTTGGGCTCCCTCGTCGAGTAAAAAAAAAGCTCCTCCTCCTCCTCCTCCTCCTCCTCCTCCTCCTCCTCCTCCTCCTCCTCTTCCTCCTCAACATCATCCTCCGCCTCCTCCTCCTCCTCCGCCTCCCCCTCCTCTTCCTATTCCTGCTCCTCCTCCGCCTTCGTAGCTTTTCTTTTACTTAATTATTATTCTTATCATTCGCATGATTAGTATTAGTATTCCTCTTATTCCTCATCCCCTTCCTTCCACTTCAGTTCTTCCTCCTTCTCCCCCTATCCCTCTTCCTCCTCCTCCTACTCCTCCTCCTCTTCCTCCTCCTTATCCTTCTCCTTGTTCTCCTACTCATCTACCTCATCCTCCTCCTCGTCCCCTCCTCCTCCCCCCCTTCATTGCTCACTCCCGCAACTTCTTTCCTTTATAAAGAACTCCATTGCAGGGCGGGTGCAATGCAACAACGTTGATGCGTCATGGGTTCGCACTGGTCCTCCTCCTCCTCCTCCCCCTCCTCCTCCTCCTCCTCCTCCTCCTCCTCCTCCTCCTCTGCAAGGGCACCTCACCTCGCGCTCCGTGCGGGCGCGGTGCGCGGAGGTGGGCCCAAAGACGCGCCTCTTTTCAGCGACGCGCAGAGGGGGGAGTTAGGGGGGGCAAGAGCGCCCTCGAGGGCGCGAAGTTATTCGCGCTTCGCGCTTCGCGGTTCGGCTCCGATTCTTCATCCTTCTCTTCTCCCCTGGGGGGGCGGCGCAAGAGCGCGAAGCTATTCGCGTTTCGCGCAGCGCAAAGCACGAAGTTTGGTCCTGCCCCTTCCTCCTCCCTCCGTGGTCCTCCATCCTTTTCAAATGTGGCGCACTCTCACATCCAGCGGCCTTTCCAGAGGGCCTGTGTGCCCAGAAGTGCGCCCGCCTATCCCTTGCCGATGCACCGGCCCTCCCAGTGGACGGAGGAGGAGGAGGAGGAGGAGGAGGAGGAGGAGGAGGAGGGAGGAGGAGGAGGAGGAGGAGGAGGAGGAGGAGGAGGAGGAGGAGGAGGAGGAGGAGGAGGAGGAGGAGGAGGAGGAGGAGAGTAGGAGGAGGAGGAGGAGGAGGAGGAGGAGGAGGAGGAGGAGGAGGAGGAGGAGGAGGAGGAGGAGGGAGGAGGAGGAGGAGGATAAGGAGGAGGAGGAGGAGGAGGAGGAGGAGGAGGAGGAGGAGGATAGTAGAGGAGGAGGAGGAGGAGGAGGAGGAGGAGGAGGAGGAGGAGGAGGAAGAGAAGGAGAAGAAGGGTGAGGAGGCGGAGGAGGCGGAGGAGGCGGAGGAGGAGAAGGAGGAGGAGGAGGTCGCTTCACGCAGAACCGGAGTGGCGAAGGGCCCAACCCCGTGCAGCTGCGTGTCGCGCAGTGCGCGGCCCTCTCCGTGGTATACTGCGCTCTGGAGGAGGGATGGAGGTCGGGGCTGTGTGGATTGAGGGCTACGGGCCAGGCTCGCAGAGGCGCGCTTATTTACCTGCATATGTCAGGCGACGAGGTCTAGACATGTCAACTGCCCCCTGGCCAGGCCCTTTTTGGGCCCAGGAGCTGTGTATAGCCCTCCTGGCCAAGCCAGGAGGGCGTGGCGTATACACCGCTGCTGGGTTTAGGATGGGCCTGGCCAGGGAGCAGTGGATGTGTATAGATTCCGTCGCCTATGGGGCACGATCCGTATGAGCGGCTGGGTAAAGTTGGCTGTGGACCGCTCGCGAGGGCTTCCACTGGGGCCACAGGTGGACCTCCGCGCGATCCGCGTGAGGGGTGTGCCGAAGTGCACGAGCTGCCCCGCGTGAGGATGCTACCACTGGGACTGTAGGTGGAGCTCCTAGTTGAGGAACGACCCGCTTGGGGAGTATGCCGAAAATGCGTCGGCCCGACGGCAATTGTGCCCACTAGGGTCGCAGGTGGAGCTGACTGTGAGGCACGATTAGTGTGAGAGGGGTGCCAGAATTGTCGCTCACCCCCATGCGATCGTACTATTCGAAGCCGCATGTGGATCCGTGTGTAGTCGCGCCCACTAGGGCCGAAGGTTGAACTCCTTGCCGGGCATACGATCCGTGTGACGGGTATGCCGCAATGGTTGCGGGAGTTCCCTGCGGGGCACAATCCATGTGAAGGGTGTGCCGCAATTGCCGTGGGCTAGCATGCGATCGCGCCCACTGAAGCCGTGAGTACAGCTCCCTGTGGGGCAGTATCCACGTGAACGGTGTCCCGTATTGGCGGAGCAAGGAGAGGGGAGAGCGGGGTGAAGAGGAGGATGGGAGGAGGCGGAGAAGGAATGGGCAGGCGGGAGGACGCAGACGCGCGGCGAAGCGGGAAGACGTCGACGACGCAACAGCACATGAGGGCCAGGGAGCAAGGGGACTTCCCCCCCCGGTGCTTGCCAGCACGCAGGCGCAGCATCTTTCAGGGCTACTTCTTGCCGGGGGTGGTCGGCTATTTCCTGGGCCTGTGTTGCACCATCGTGGCCCTGGTGGTGATGAAGCTCGGCCAGCCGGTGAGCGCCCCCCCCCGAGCGGAGGGGAGCGGAGGGAGGAGGTTGCCGAAGGGTCCCGAGTGCTTCTAACGGTTCACGGGCGACCCCCCAAGCGGAGGAGGGAGAAAAGCGCGTGAGGACGTGAAGTGATGGAGGGAGTGGGGGGCCGTGGGGGGTGTGCGGGGATGGAAGAGGGAGGGGAAGATGAGCGAGGTTGTAGGAGATGAGGGGAGGGCCACGAGGAGAAGGAGGAGGAAGAGGAGGAGAAGGAGGAAGAAGAAGAAGAAGAAGGAGGAGGGGAGCGGGAGAAACATGACACGGCAGCAGGATGCTCCCGTCCTCCCTCCTTCCTCTTCCGTTCTGGGAGAACATGGGGCGGCAAGCGCAAACGCTAAACCCATGCATATTAGCGACGACTGTGCTTTGCCACGGCCCCGCGGAAGGGTGGAATGGCACAAGCAGGCGCGTACACTTGTCAACTCTTTGAGCTCTTTTTGTTTTTTTATTGAATCGCTTCGCTCATTCCGCCGGCCCGTGATATGGCATCGCTGGTTTTTGTCTGTGTGTTCGTTGCCCATGTTGCGCTCTTGGGGGCGGGTGTCGTTCGGACGCGTTGCGTGGGGAGTTTTGATGGTGAAGCAGTTCCCTGGGGGTCGTCTCTCGATGGGGCGAAATAGAGTCGTCGTCAAGATGCTTCTTTGGGGGGCCTCTTGGGGTCTGTTGAGAGGCCGTTCGGGGGCGCCTGGGAGACATGTTTGAAGCCTTCTGGGGCTTCTTTTGGGCCTCCTGGGAGTCTCCTGGGGCCTCTTGGCGACATCTTGGGGCCTCTTGGAGGCCTCTTGGGGCCTCTTTGGGACCTCCTGGGCGCCTTCTGGGACGGAGGGCTCCATTTTTGAGTTCTCGGTATCCCTCCTGAGTCCCTCTTGGGCCCGTCTTGGGGCCTCTTGGTCCGTCTTGGGCGGCACTTGGGCCGTCTTGAGGGCTCTCTTGGGTCGTTTCGGCGCCGTCTTGGGAGCTTCGTGGGCCGTCTTGGAGCGGTCTTGGGGGCCTCTTGGGCCGTCTTGGAGCGTCCGGAAGCCGAAAAAGCCAGAACACAAAAAACATCGAAAAAACCAATGAAAATCAACGATTTTGGCCTCTTGGGGCTCTCTTCGGAGGCCTCTTGGAAGGCTCTTGGGGCGTCTTGGAGGCCTCTTGGGCTGTCTTGGGGGCCTTTTGGGCCGTCTTGGGGTCATCTTCGGCGTCTTCGAGCGCTCTTTGGGCGTCTCGGGGGCCTCTTGGGCAGTCTTGGGGGCCTCTTGGGGCACTCTGAGCGCGCTCTGGGGAGCCTGAGAGGCCGCACCCAGAAGGAAAACCATCTCTGAGTAGACTTGGTCGGGCGGCGGTCGGGCGGCGACCGGGCGTTGGTCGGGGTACTTTTCGCCGGGGGACCCCCAGGGGCCGCCCCGCGCGCGCGAACTAGAAATACTGTTAATACTGTTAACCAGTTACCGGAGATCTTAGCACGCCCTGGCCCGTTGGGCCGGCGAATTCTCGCTCTCTCTCTCTCTCTCTCTCTCTCTCTCCCTCTCTCTCTCGTGTTCTCGTGTTCTCGTCTTCTCTCGCTCTCTCTCCCTCTCCCTCTCTCCCTCTCTCCAAGCAGCCCTGCCTCCCTCTTTATCGCCGCCCCACGCCCTCCCCCCCTCCTCTTGTTTAGCCGGTGCCCGTGGCCTTAGACCTCTGAGGCTAGTGGAGCACCAACCAGGAAAGGACTGGGACGGGGAGCCCCCACCCCCCTCTGATCCCGAAGCCAGAAGGCGAGAAGGCGAACATCACATCATTGGTATCCCTTTGGATGTTTGAAGGATTTTGGCCTCTGGGAGGGGGTCCTGAAGGGGGCTCCCAGAGCAGAACCGTATTGTGGCCCTCGTCGGGCCTCTTGGAGGTATGTCGGAAGCCATGTTTACTCATCTTCGGCTACATCGAGCCGCTTCTTCGAGAAATACTTTGCGAAAAAGGACCCCCGGACACATCCCGCCCCCCGCCAAAAACCAAACCTCAGGGAGAGGAGGGGGAGGGTACCACTCCCCGAAGGCAAGAGGGTTCTGGAAGAGGGTAGAAAGACATCGCTAGACCACCGCAGCCAACAGGGCTGGTGGGATTTGTGTCGTCGCTGTGGATTGCTCCAGGTCTGACGTGCCTAGTCTCAAAGGGTTTTTTTTTGACGGACCATCCATAGCCCTAAACCTCGGTAAGTCTTCAGTTCTGGCCCGCCGCGCTATTGGGGGGACCAGAAATAATTAGTTACCCCCCAGTGGGGGGGGGTTCTAAAGACTTATCCTGGTCAGCATTACCTCGGCTCGCATGATGCTGTTGGTGGGCAGACACGCCACAGGACAGGCGCAGCCCGTGGCAGTGCCGTTGCAGTCGGCACGTTCTCTTTATCGCTTGCATTCCTTACCGAGCCTGGCGCGGCTATGGATACAGTAAGCCCACGCCAACAAACACCCTGCTTGCCTCCAGAGTGCCCTGGGTTTCTTGGGTTTGATGGTTTTGCTATGGAGTACGTGACGCTCCCACAGCAAAACTCAATGTACGTTCTGGGGTTCCAGGGTTGAGTTTCTTGTGGAAGGTTTCTTGTGATGGAGCTCCTACTGTACTGCTTGCATTCCTCAACCAGCCCGACACGGCTATGGATAAGGCAATATCTAGGGCAGATGTTGATGGCTGCGTTGGCAGGGCTTACGCGTGGTGTTTCGAGTAATCTGAGGTCTGTTCTAGCGAGACTTTATCCCAGCCCATGCGCATTTGTTTAACTATGTTCATGCTTGGCGGCCGTCTCACCTCATGAGTTACGTTGTCGTGAGTTATTCGCCGTGCGTGGCATCGGCGTCAGGAGTCAAGACTCCTTAGCCCGAGTCCAGGACACCTCCTGTCTCGCCGCTTCCTCGACCCTCCTTCCCTGCCCATCATTGTTTCTGTGTCATCGTAGCTCCTCTTCTCGCACCTCCCCCCTCGTTTCTCCTTCCCCTTGTCCGAAAGAACCACATCGCCATTTGGGGTCAAGCCCCTGGTTTGCGTCGCGGCGCGGTGCAGTTCGCCCGCATCGGTTGCAGTAATGGGAGAAGGCGGTTTCGGTAAGGGGAAGCCTGACGGCAAGGGCAAGAAGGGAAAGAAGGGAAAGAAGGGCGGCAAGAAGGGCGCCGAGGAGAAGGAGTGGGTGCCTTGCACCAAAATCGGGCGCCTCGTGAAGGAAGGGAAGATCACATCGATCGAGGACATCTACCTGCACTCGCTGCCAATCAAGGAGTATCAAATCATCGACCAGTTCTTCGCCCCTGGCACGCTCAAGGACGAGGTGATGAAAATCCACCCCGTCCAGAAGATGTCATCCGCCGGCCAGACCAACCGCTTCGTCTGCTACGTGCTCGTCGGTGACAACAACGGCCACATCGGGCTCGGCTCCAAGTGCTCCAAGGAGGTCGCCACGGCCATCCGTGGCGGCATCATCGCCGCGAAGCTGAGCCTCATCCCCGTGCGCCGCGGATACTGGGGCAACAAGATCGGCCTGCCGCACACGGTGCCGATGAAGGTGGCGGGCAAGTGCGGCTCCGTGAGGGTCCGGCTGGTGCCTGCGCCGCGCGGGTCCAGCGTCGTTGGCTCCCCCGTGATGAAGAAGATGCTGGCCTTCTGCGGCATCCAGGACTGCTTCACCTGCTCCTGCGGGCACACGAGGACGAAGGGGAACTTCATCAAGGCGACCTTCGACGCCCTGCGCGCGACCTTCGGCTACCTGACGCCCGACCTGTGGAAGCCCACGCACTTCATCAAGTCTCCATTCCAGGACCTTCCAAAAGGGTAAGGTTCACACATTAGTTGAAACACAAAGAATCAGACCCTGGTCGGCTGGTCGCCCTGAGGGTCAGCGGGGTGCCCAGGAACAACGAGGCAGACTCCTCCCGGCAGCAACGACAACACACACACACACACACTGGCTAACTTCAGCGGCGCTCGGAAACGGAGTGGACCTCTCAGAGGGCCTTCTGCCCTCTAAGAGGCCCCCTTAGAAGCCTGCGGTCCCTTCCCAGAAGATTCCCCGCATGCCTTCTTGGATGGCCGCGCCCCTCGCCCTACAGTGGAAGCCCATGCCAAGAAACACCATGCTTGCCTCCAGGGTGCCCTGTGTTTCTTGGGTTTCGATGGTGTTGCGATGGAAGGCGTGACGTTCCCACACCAAAACTCAATGGACGTCCTGGGGTCTCTGTGCTGGGTTTCTTGTGGAAGGTTTCTTGTGGTCGAGCTCCTACTGTACTCCCTCCTGCGCGCTGGTCATGTGACTCTTCGCCACTGTCCTGTCTCCTGCATCCAGGGGGCGTGCTCTGGCGCGCCTGGGCCTCCCCCCCGGCCCCCGCAGTCAGAGCTCGAAGGCGGGTAACGCTTCTGTCGGCGGCGGGCGGGAGGGGGGAAATGAGAACGCCACCCCCAGAACGCCACCTGAGAATCCCCCGCCCTCGAGGGAGAACAGGGTCCGAGCATGCAGGGTCGGAGGACCGCGCCACATCGTCGATGCATCGGCGACGCCAGTGATGCATCTTCGCCATTGGCCAGGAAAAGATCAGACTCCACATTGAGCCGCATCGCCGATGCGTTGGCCATGCGACGCGATCCTCGTACCTCATCTCGGCGGCGAGCGAGTGTGGAAATGAGAAGGAGAAGGCCTTCTCAGATAGCGGCGGGGCTTCTCAGAAGCCCTCGCGCCTTCTGAGAGGTTGTCAATATCTTCCGGGAAGGCTTGGAACAGTTTTCAAAAGACGGGGGAATTTCCGAGCCTTCTGAGAAGGCCCGCCCCTTCTCACTTTCCCTCCGAGCGCGCCGCCGATTCTGGTTCGCAAGGATGTCGGTACTCTTTAGGTGTTCCTTCGGGGCCCATGTTTGAAATTCCGTGCGTCAGGTTCCTAGTAACGGACGCATGTCGTGCAGGCACCTCTTTCGCTCGAGGGTGCGCGTGTGGCTTCTGCTATGTGATCATGCCGCTTGGGGGG